TCCTGATGTTTTTACTATAAACTTTTTTTGCGTAGACTATGTTTTTTGCTTATGTCACACAATTAAAACCATGAATCGACCAATGTTAGACCACCATTAGAAACCTGGAAGCACTGGACGGCTCTCTCGTCCTGATATGGGACTGCCTCAGCAGTGCGCATCCACAACTACTGCGCCCAGTAGGATTCGAACCCAGGACCTTCGATATTGTGCACGAACTCCCTAACCGTCAGACCAATGAGCTGGTATCTAACGGTGTTAATGTCTAACTTGATCGAATTCACACTGTTAGGATATTCATCAAATATCCTAAGAGAATTAATTATCTTAGTAAGTCTAATTCTATTGATCAATTCAAACTGGTCAATTTTATGGTCGTCCTACTTATCAATGTCACGTGCTTCAACGTTGTTTCCCACTGATCGTCGTAACTGTCAATGTCATAGACTTCAATGTTGTTTCCTATTCAACCTAAATGTATAAATATGCATTATCTGTAACTTTTTATGGTCCGGACGCGGATCCCCAGTTCGGGATCCTCATCCTCTTGTGGACTCGAACCTCGTACTATCTGGATGCTTGTAGAATAAAGGTTCTACTTCATATCAAGTCTTCTTCTTTTACAAAATTGGGAGGTTGGGACACTTGACTTAGAGTAGCATGTTGTCTTACCGGATCCTCATTCCTTGCTCTCGTTTTCCGACTTAGGTAAACTCGTAATAGCATTCAAGCATATCAAATGACATGTTTACGTGCATGCGTAACACACATACACACACATAATACTACTCTTTCGATATAATGGAAGACTTTTCTCATACATCCCCACGAAGTCTTGTTTACAAATGATTGATTATTGAGTGATGATCAATCAATTATCAATATCTATGACCTACAGAAGGTCATTTGTTGCTTCTAGAATAACTCAAAGCTAACGCCTCAAACTGTAGGGTTCAGGTTTAATGACTTTAACCTCTAGATCATTGAGTCGTCATCCAACAGTGATTATCTAACTTTAATCAATCCACAACATTGCGTAATCAACTTCCATTGTTTTTTGGCAGCTGACTAAACCCCCAGGGTCGATACTGTGTATTTATTTTTTCATGTGTTAAACTTTTTTTAACAAATAAATTACACAGACAAGCTAAACTTATTGTTATTTTTGTCAAATTACAAATTACAATGATCATGAATAATCATGTTCTATTTTTTTTTGTTCATGTTAACCCTGTCTGACTCATTCGCATTGAACTTCACATTAATTAAAAATTTATATTTGGATTACTTACACATTGACCAGCATAATAGTTTCGAATGAATTGTACAATATACAAGTAATGGTTTTTGTTAATATTAAGCTAATCTACTACTACTACTACTACTACTACTACTACTACTACTACTACTACTACTACTACTACTACTACTACTACTACTACTACTACTACTACTACTACTACTACTACTACTACTAGGACTACTACTACTACTACTACTACTACTACTACTACTACTACTACTACTACTACTACTACTACTACTACTTCTATTACTACTCACACTACTACTACTACTACTACTACTACTACTACTACTACTACTACTACTACTATTAATACTACTACTACTACTACTACTACTACTACTACTACTACTACTACTACTACTACTACTACTACTACTACTACTACTACTACTACTTCTATTACTACTACACTACTACTACTACTACTACTACTACTACTACTACTACTACTACTATTAATACTACTACTACTACTACTACTACTACTACTATTAATACTACTACTACTACTACTACGACATGTTGGCAATAATTCTAATTTAATATTATTCATCATTAAAGTACACTCTCATTAAGTTTGTACGTTTGTTTTTTTTCATAAAAAAATCACTATTGGAGTTAGATATTAACATCTTTGTAATGTAGGCCTAATAGTCTGGAAGTTATGAAGACCCTGGTTTTGATTCCGCCCAAATGAAGGTGGCATGTACGTGAAGTGATGTTCAGTCACATACTAGGATGAAACGACTGTCCAGTGCTTCCAAGTTTCTAGTGATGGTCTAACACTGATCTAGCCATGATTTCATGCAAGTTAGCAGTTTGACTAAAGGTCTCATCTTTACTATTTATTAGTAAAGACCAAGAAATAGACTTTTTTCTTGAATGTTTGCATGAAATTAAAATATTAAGGAAAACTAATTGTAGCAGTAGTAGTAGTAGTGTGAGTAGTGAGAGTAGTATGAGTAGTAGCAGTAGTAGTAGTAGTAGTGGTAGTAGTATTACTAGTAGCAGTGTAGTGAAGGAGAAAACATGTGAGGGTAACCGAATTGTATTAAACGAAAATTACAGAGTTACTCAGTAAAATAGGAAAACCATATCGTAAATTGTTAATTTGCAAATCTTCAATCAATCATCAATCCACTGTCTGACATTTCACTTATTCATGCATTTCATACAAACTCCATTGTGTTCCCACTGTTCCTTTCTTGATGTTCCCGCATCTTCTGCTGCCAGACATTACGTTTACACACGCGTCATATACTACATATAAGTAGCGCGCACCACAGTATAGTTGTAGTAGAAGTAATAGTGTGAGTAGTAGTAGTAGTAGTAGTAGTAGTAGTAGTAGTAGTAGTAGTAGTAGTAGTAGTATCAGTAATAGTAGCAGTATTAGTAATACCTTGATCAACTACTAAAAACTTTTAGAAAGATAATGAAAAATGATCACTTCCTCTTCGATGCAGCATTTTTTCGATAAGAAAAACTCATCCCCACATCAAACTCTAACTAAATTTATATCATTCATCAACCTTAGATAAATATCGCTTGGTCATTTGTGAATTGATTGAGGCTAACGAATGCAAAATAACTCATCTACTCTACAAAAATCTTAATGAAAATTAACGACAACTCTCTTTGTCCTCCTCATTAAACAGACAGATTTTCTGTTGGTTTACATAGCATAACTAAGTGTAGTTAGTTTTTTTTACCAATCAGTGGAACCGCTACTGTTCAGTGAACTATTGCATATGATCAGTGCTGAGTGATATGTGATTGTGGAAGAGGTCAACCGTGAGGTCTGTATCAACCAGAACGATTACATCTATGTAATGATTGATTTATCAAAGCTTGAATCGAAAGGTCAATGACAGCTATATTCAACTCATTGTATTGTATCACAATCTCACGGTCTCCAACACAACGGTTATCATCCGAACTAGAGGTGTCTAGCCATCTGTGTATACTGATGGACTAGACAGTTGACCACTACATCGGAGGGAGACATAACTCAGCTATCATCAGCACGTTGATCGCCACATAATGATGTGTCTGAATTAGTAGAACGATGTGGATCTCTGACCGGACAGATGAATCGATTGTTGACATTCTAGCAAATCAACCAGTATGTTCAGCTGTGTACCAGTCCTCCAGTGCATCTGCACACGTGTCTGTATGTGAGTCAGAAATATTGTACAGTGTCAATGTAGAGTTGTGTGTTTCGGTGGAGTGAACTTTCGACAATGTGATGATAAGTTTTTGTGTCTTTCGTATGGGAGGCATGTCTCCGATTCCCAATCGACTCAATGATTTGCATTGGATCTCATCTGTGTAGTACTGTGGTGAATGAGAACACAGGTGAGGGCAACCGGAATGTATTTATCGGAAATTACAGAGTTACTCAGTAAAATCAGAAAACCATATCGTAAACGCGTAATTTGCAAATCTTCAATCCATTGTCTGACATTTCACTCACTATTCATGCGTTTCATACAAATTCCATTGTGTTCTTCTAACTCTTCCTTTCTTGATCTTCCCCCATCTTCTGCTGCCAGATATTACGTTTACACTCGCGTCATATACTACTTACAAGTAGCGCGCACCACAGTACAACCCACTGCCATATATCTCATGTCATTGTGATCGATCTGTGGCCAATTGACACAATGACGATCATTGCTCATAAACGGGACAAACACTGACCAAATCCAAACCGTAAATGATTCATAAAGAAATATATCTACTCTTAAACAGGTTTCCTAATACAACTTCGCCATCAATGAATGAGTTTTTCTGAGCTGCATGGTTTCATTCATTGTAAAGCTCTGTTTGTCCATCACTCTTAAACCAAATCTAGCCAAAATAAATTCAATTATCACTGAAAAACAATCATTCAAACTGTGTAATTCTTTCCGATTATTCTAATTTATTATTGACAATGCAATAATTTTGTTGATATCAATCAAAATGCTAAAAAATATTTTTTAATTTTTTTTAGAAAAAATAAAGAAAAGAATGAAAATCATTTAAATTTTGGCAAAATTTCAAATTCTCTGTGTGAATGAATTAATCATACCATTTTAATTTTGGTTTTGTGTTGTGTCAATTACAACACACAAACTATCACATTGAACTAACTATAAAAAAATATGACTTTGTTTGTTTGTTAAAAAGTGTTGTTTTTTTCGTTTGACCTGAATCAATCTAATCGGGGTAGGTGGTAAGAGGTGTTTACCAGCATAATCATCATTTTGTTGACACTTGGTGGTGAAATTTTTAATTTATAAATTCAATACTCCTAACTATAGTGATTATTATTATTATTATTAGAAATACAAGTTTAAAACAAATTTTAACAGCGTTAAACCATCATTAGAAATGTAGAAGCATTCGACGGGGCGTTTGCCTCTGGTATGGGACTGGTTAACAGTGCGCATTCACGACTCTTGCTACTTGTAGGTATCGAAATGAAAGGATTTTCGGTCTTGCGTACGAGAACGCTTAAACTTTAGACGACCATTGAGCTGGCGTCCAGAGGTAGTGTATTATTTTCCTAAAAGATAACTATGAACTTACTGGACTCTTAAAGTTAGTCAACATAAAAGTAATAGTAATATTCTCATTAATATTTTGAAGCGAAATACACATAAGAGATAATGTCTAACAAATTCATTCAGTTTGATCAACCTTAAACCTAACATATCTTTTCAGTATTACTAGCAGTACTAGTAGCATTAGTAGTAGTAGTAGTAGTAGTAGTAGTAGTAGCAGTAGTAGTAGTAGCAGTAGTAGTAGTAGTAGTAGTAGTAGTAGTAGTAGTAGTAGTAGTAGTAGTAGTAGTAGTAGTAGTAGTAGTAGTAGTAGTAGTAGTAGTAGTAGTAGTAGTAGTAGTAGTAGTAGTAGTAGTAGTAGTAGTAGTAGTAGTAGTAGTAGTAGTAGTAGTAGTAGTAGTAGTAGTAGTAGTAGTAGTAGTAGTAATAGTAGTAGTATTTACTTAGATACACAAAGAATTTATTATACAAATAACTTTTATATAATTCATAATTTCGCAATTATACAAATTAACCCTTAATTGGCAAGGATAATTTTACATTAGTTTTCAGGAGAACCAAGGAGACTGCCCGCATGTTAATACATCGATGTGAACAGTTCGGCTCAATCCTGTGGTGCAACCACACAGGCAGGTACCTGACACCCTGGTTGATTATTCACACCATTTATATACACGCTAGTGCGTATAGTATAGTGATTATTTACGATCCATGATCGCGTCAATCAAAATGCACCACATGAACAGGCCAATTCGACTCATCCCGCTTACATGACTGTCAAATTCATTATTAGTAACAATTGTGATATGCAATAAAGCACCCTAATGACAATGACCCTCGAGAATGTTGCTAGACAACCATCAGTATCAACGAAATCGATCATCGTGCTGACCAAATTTATTTATAGGACTGTTAGCAATACTTACCAAAGTAATATCAAGCCATTCACAATATCCACTGCGAACTTCTAGTCTGATAGGAAACCTTCAGCTCTCTATGTATAACAATATAGCTTATGGGGTATACAAATCGTATGGTATAGAATGACAAGAGATACAGTCTAACTTGATACAAATGAGCTCAAATACTCCTATTGTAATGAAGCAGAACACAGGTTAATTGGTAAAATAGGAAAACCATATCGTAAATCGTTCATTTGCAAAATATCAATCCATCATATCGAACGGGACTGTTTCTGTTGCAAACAACATCTAATCCATTGTCTGACATTTCACTTATTCATGCGTTTCGTACAAATCCCATTGTGTTCCCACTCTTCTTCCTTTCTTGATCTTCCCCCATCTTCTGCAGCCAGACATTACGTTTTTACTCGAGTCGTATACTACTTATAAGTAGCGCGCACCACATTATTACTCTTTTGCTCTCGTGTCAGGTAATGATTTTTCCGCAATAGAGAAATTTTCATTTTTCAACTATATGAGACCTGAATTAAGAAGAGGATATCCCTCCCTATAAATAATTTAGTTAACATATATTTATTCTTTTTACTTCATTCACATCACTTCATACATTCATTACACTGTGTTTCATTGAACATTGAATTGATTCAGCATTCATACTACTGTGGTGTGAGCCACTTATAAGTAGTATATGACGCGAGTGTAAACGTAATGTCTGCCAACAGAAGATGGGGGAAGATCAAGAAAGGAAGAGTTAGAACACAATGGAATTTGTATGAAACACATGAATAGTGACAATGGATTGATGTTTTACAACAGGAACAGTCCAGTTCGATATGATGAACTGATATTTTGCAAATTAACGATTTACGATATGGTTTTCCAATTTTACTGAGTAACTCTGTAATTTTCGTTAAATACAATTCGGTTGCCCCACCTGTGTTCTCGTTCACTACAATACTACTATTTGATTTACTCAACACTACTAATTAGACTGTATTCTGATCAATTTATTTAAGAATTTCAATGAACACACACAAACATTGTAACATTCAGTTAATCAATCATTCATATTGGTTATTAGAATCATCATCCCATTGATTAGCCTCTTTGCTGCCATATGTACATCCGATGCCGATTAATTACCTCGATATTCACCTTTGCTAATAATTACAACATAAGTTATCATTAATTTAATTGTGTCATGCTTTTTTGTCTTATACTTGAATATATATATACACATCTTATAAGTACATTAATTTAAATTGAAAAATTTTAGGACAGGATGAAAATAATTGAATTTTGAAAAGAATATTCTTTGATTTTTTTTAATTTATTCAATAGTGAGTGGTTAAGGAAAAGTTATGAATAACTTTTGGTTATTAAACACAATAGATTAAATTATCTCTACTCAAGGTCATTTTTGTTTAAATCAGATACCTATATTGACTATAATTCATTCTAAATTTATCTTTACAACCTAACAATCATGATGATATTGAATTTTTAATTGAAGCAGATATTGTGTGGTGATTGAGAATTGATTTTGGTCATATCTTTCTTATTTTATGATTTTCAGTAATCAAATTTATGTAGATTGTTAAGAGTTTCATTGAAAGAATAAATCGATCAATGTTAGACCAATGTTAGAAATTTGGAAGCACTGGACAACTTGTTTTGTCCTACTTAATATGGGACTTCTCAGCAGTGCACATTCCTGACCCTCACAAGCGGAAATCGAATCCAGGACATTCGGTCTTAAGTGAGGACGTTTAACCATTAGACCATTGGGACCAGTATCTAACGGTGTTTAGGTTTAGCTTTAATCAACCCAAAGTAATGCTCAACTTCACACATTGTCTTTGGGTGGATAACTGCCTACACATGACAAGGTATAAACTGCATTGATCGTGGCTTTGAAATTGATTTCATCAGAATAATTAAGAACTCATCTGCAGCCCACCTCCTCGAGAAACTTTACAGTTTCTAGAAACTTATCCAATGTTCCTTAACGATTCTCGACTGTGTCATATAAGATTGATTTCCGTTTGTACAATAACTTTATCAAAAACCAATGTAATATCATAATATTTTCACTATATTATGCAATCAGCATGAGTTCATCTATCTTGCATAATATATATATAAATAGCTGCTGGTAGACTGTACAAAGCAGACCAATAGATTTTCGAGAAATTTGTTAATCAGTTCAACATATGTAATATTTGAAGGCAGTTTTTTTCACGAGTTGATATTTAATAGGATAAGGGGATAACATTGAACATACATATTTTGTAGTACTTACTTACTTACCTACTTACTTACGCCTGTTACCCCCAATCGAGCATAGGCCGCCCACCAGCAGCATTCTCCAACCAACTCTGTCCTGGGCTTCTCTCTCCAGTTCTGTCCAATGTTTCTTCATTCCTCTCATATCTTTCTCTATTTCTCGTCGAAATGTGTTCCTTGGCCTTCCTCTTTTCCTTTCTCATTGAGGGTTCCATGTGATGGCTTGTCTCGTGACGAAGTTTGGTGCTTTTCGTAGTGTGTATCCTATCCACTTCCACCACTTCTTCCTGATTTCCTCATCCACTGGAACATGTTTTGTTCTCTCCCACAGTACGTTGTTGCTAATGGTGTCTGGCCAACGAATCAGAAATATTTTGTGTAGACAACTGTTAATAAACACTTGCATCTTCTGGATGATGGCTTTTGTAGTTCTGCAAGTTTCCGCTCCATACAGTAGAACTGTCTTGACATTTGTATTGAAAATCCTGATTTTGGTGTTGGTTGATATTTGTTTGGAGTTCCAGATATTTTTCAACTGTAGAAATGCAGCCCTTGCTTTGCCAATCCGTGCCCTCACATCTGCATCGGATCGACCTTGATTGTCAATGATGCTTCCCAGATATGTAAAGGTGTTAACGTCCTTCCAGACATCTCCATCAAGAGTGATTTGGTTGATGCATGTTGTGTTGCATCGGAGAATTTTGCTTTTTCCTTTATGTATGCAATTCTATGTAAAATTCATTTTGGTATTTTCTTTATATCATTTATATATGATAATGTATTGACTGGTCATCATCAATAGTAGTAAAATCTTTGCACGAGTGAGAGTATTTGATTAAACTGGTTTTGATGTCTCGGAAGAGTGAACAAACCCATCGTCTACCGTTAATTTTGTCTTTTCTTGTGAATAATGCTAATTTCAATATTTCCCTATCTAAACTATTGTATTTTCCATTATAGAGTTGTAAAAATTGTTGAGTTTCATTGAAATCGTGAATCAGTTCTTGTTAGAACACTATTAGGAACCTCAAAACGCTGGACGATTGTTTCGTCTTGGTATACGACTCTGAATCCATGACTCCCTCTACTCGCAACAGTGGAACCTGTGACATTCGATCTTGCCACATGAAAATAAAATTTGCTTACTACTGACTAGCTTCATGAGGAAGTTCTCGGAGTTCTGATGAGAAAATGTGATCAGTGGAGTTCATCAACTCTGTCGAGTGTAGGCAGTCGCCTACCGAAGACAAATGGGTGAGATCCCGCAAAATCGCTAAAGTGATCATAGTTAGACATTAATACAACTGGATGCCGGTTCATTTGTCCATAGGCTAGGCATTCGCGCTCAAGACCGAAGGCCTGAGGTTCGATTCCTGCGAGTAGCAGGAATCATGTGTGCATACTGTTAATGAGTCTCATACCAAGACTAGACTGATGTCCAGTGTTTCCAGTTTTCTAATCGTGGTCAAACAATGATTGATTAATAATTTTAGTAATAGATTTTCATTTTGCGTCCAACCTCACACCAGTGTGCATTCACAATCCCACATAAAGATCTATAATGCACAAATTTTGGAACATGCCATCAATGAGTTACTTATTCATTGTCAACTCTCATCTTATTGATAACCATCATGATATAACTTGAAAAAGGTAAAAGGCGAAAGATTTATCCGCAAATGAGGAGACACCAGAGTAGACCTTCTACCAGGTGGCTCGCTAATTGACTTAGAATATGCCGATGACATAGTCCTACTTCGTGAAGACGCTGACAAAATGCAGAGTCTTCTGACAACCCTAAGCAACATTGCAAGCATGCTCGGGATGCGGTTTTCCCCCTCAAAATGCAAAATGTTGCTTCAAGATTGGGTTTCATCGGCACCTGAACTAGTGATAGGGAGTGAAGTAGTCGAACGTGTAGACCGCTTCACTTATCTAGGAAGTCTCATCAGTGCCGATGGACTGGTGACTGACGAAATCTCAGCTCGGATACAGAAAGCTAGATTGGCTTTCGCCAACCTGCATCACTTATGGCGTAGGCGTGATATCCGTTTACTGACTGAAGGACGAGTGTACTGTGCAGTAGTTCGATCCGTCTTACTTTATGGCTGTGAAACATGGCCAGTGAGAGTAGAAGATATTCGTAGGTTACTGGTTTTCGATCATATGTGTCTTCGAAACATTGCTCGTATATCGTGGGACACCCAAGTGAGCAACGCTGTTATTAGGAAACGGGTGCTGGGTAAGAATGGCAGATCAATAGATGAAGTAATGAAACTTCATCAGTTGGGGTGGTTGGGACATGTGCTGCTACGTATGCCTAACCACCGACTGCCTCGACGAGCTTTGTATTGTAGTGAAGGAATAGGTTGGAAGAAAGTTAGGGGCGGCCAAATCAAAACATGGCACAAATCCATGAAGTCATTGACAAGTGGACTTAGCCATGTCGGTAATTGTCGACTACACGGTTGGGGTAAGCGAGATGATAATAATCGATGGTTAGAGACCTTGAATGACATTGCTCAAAATCGTTTGCAGTGGCGCCGGTGCATTTATTCTTTGTGTTCTCTCAAATCCTAATCTTTTGGATTCTTCAACACCTCTAGTTTTGACTTTGTAAACTTTTCTCACTGAATCATACTTCTTGAATAATATCTTCTAATCCTAACCTTTCCGATTACTTCTAATACCTTTACTACTTCTTCTACTATTGGATTTGAATTGACAATTATATCTCTATGCTGATAAGGTATGGCAACATGAACTTATGTACTTATGTACGAAGTTCTACGTTGCATCTGACTGACTGACTGAAAAAGGTAAAAATTATTTACTAATATAACTAATTAATCATTAACTAAACATTAAAAATTCGAAAAAATTAAATATAAAATAAAGATTCAACTACAAAATTACTAAAAAAACACAAGGTGACAATATCAGATTTTGACATAATGATTAAAATAATGATCTCAATAAAATAAAACAAATTTATTAATCGTTTGATACAAAGAAAAAAATATTTATGTATGTATGTAGGTATATAGATTGATTGAAAATTGAAACGGTACAATCAAAATTGAAACTTGACATGTTTTCAAATTTCATCACTGAACTAACAACTTTCAATTATGGCGGAAAATGTCGATAGACACACACACACAGACATATATAGAAAGTCGATGAGTTTTCTTTGATCTGACTGATGATTATTCAGATCAATGTCATTCATTCCATTTTTTGAAATTACAACTTATTGACTTTTTTTGGATTATTTGAATCCGAATGTTTACCTCTGGTTCTTTTGTCTATTTTTTGCAATGAATGAGATGAGTGGTGTGTTTCATTGTGGTCATATTCGTGGTCATGTTCATGATCCTGTTCATGATCTGAATCATGGTGATGTTTTTGGCCTTTCTCATGATCTTTATGGTTGTTCTTATGATGTTCAGGTAATTGATGGTCATCTGGTGTAGAATCTAAATGATCCTCTGTCTCATCTATTGTATCATCGTGGTGCGGGTGGTGGTTGTCCGAAACAGGTTCATTAGTTTCAGTGGTTATTTCGTACGTTTCATCTGAATTATCGTTTGATGCATCTACATTCGATGAATTATCAAATGTAGTTAATCCGTCAATTAAATCTTCACCAGAATCTAAGTTTGTTGTATTAGCTTGTTCTTGGAGAAGATAATCTGGATTATCGCCTTCATCGCCTACATTAAATGAATCAATATACATTAACAGATAAACTTTCGAATACTTTAATTAAAAAGTTTTATGAATTTCTGAAATTGTAGTGAAAGAGGACACAGGTGGGGAAAACGGAGCCACTCAGTAAAATCGGAACACCATATCGTAAATCGGTAATTTTCAAAATATCAATCCATCATATCTAACTGGACTGTTCCTGTTGCAAAACATCAATCCATTGTCACTATTCACGCGTTTCATACAAATTCCATTGTGTTCTCACTCTTCTTCCTTTCTTGATCTTCCCCATCTTCTGCTGCCAGACATTACGTTGACGCTCACTTATAAGTAGCTCGCACCACAAAATCAACATAGAATTTCACTTGTATGACTTTCTTACATATTCAAGTGTCAACTAATCTATTATTATTATTGTTATTATTAATAATCAGATAAAAAATTATAAAAACTCAACATCTTGTTGGGGATGTTAAATCCCCAGAACTCGCTTGATAAATATCTTTATTTTGGATTTATTTCATGGACTAATCAGATGACCTTGAAGTCACATTCCCCACCAGGAAAATCCTTGGCTGTGATTGGTTACTGTGTCGTTTTAGTGTGCTATTTTTGTGACTGTCCCAAGGATGTCTCTATAGAGTATAAATAAACTCAATTTAAGTGCATGGATTCATTATGCGCTGGCTGGATGTTTATAGAATACACTTTCTACACTATATCAAGACTTCTTGCTGATAGATTTTTGGTCAAGGGATCACAGTAGCCTACCTGGACTCTGGTTCATTGTTTTGTTCTCGTTATTCGACTAAGGTGAACTCGTAATGGTTTTAAGCATACCTAGAGACGAGCGTAACACATCTGTCGATCAGTCTGATCTATTGACATTCAAATCAACTGTTGGATGCGCAAGTACATACAGCTGACATGACCCAAAAAAGACTAAATGAGCATCCTAGATTATCCACTGCCAACCATTATCTATCTCTATGCTAATGAATTTGATAAAGTTCATTTTAAAGGTTAAATTATTATTATTATTATTGAAAATTGAAACTAAATGTTAAGAAAAGCGATAAAATGCGATATTATGATTTAATTTAATATAATTTTCTTTTATATGTGAATTCAGTGTGATATTTATTCATAGCCCTGTTCGTTTCCAATCTAAGTTCAATCTGAAAGTGAATTGTGTTCCGATTGTTTCAGTTGATTAGATTTTTTCAATTAAAGTTATGGAGATCAGTGTTTTTACACATTTGAAATCATCAATCAATCAATCATTGTTAAACCACCATTAGAAATCTGGAAGCACTGGACAGCCGTTTCGTCCTGATAGAGGACTCGGCATCAGCGGGCATCCACGACTCATGCACCTAGCAGGATTCGAACCCAAGACCTTCGGTCTTTCGCGTGAACGCCAAACCTCTGGATTAGTTAAATAAATGTCAGTAAAATAACAAGGCAAATGAGTTTATTCCATCAATATGTCATTAAAATGTTTTTTTTGAACAATAAATAAAATCTCTATTGATCACCAACATTGATTTTCTTCCTTGAGTCTTGTAAATCTCAATCTCCTCTTCATGGTGTTTTTAAACTTTTTAGATGATCGACCTTTTTCAAATACTTTTTTGCTAATCTCTGTTCTTTATCATTTAATACACAACATGAACAGTCGATTAATAATGGATGATTGATGATTTCAAATGTGTAAAAACGCAGGGAGCAGGAGTCGTGGATGCGCACTGTTGACGAGTCCCATACCAGGACGAAATGGCCGTTTTACAGTGCTTCCAGGTTTCTAATGGTGGTCTAACAATGATTGATTGATGATTTCAAATGTGTAAAGACGCAGTTCTCCAAAACTCTGTCCCAATATATAATAATGGAGTACTGGGAAAATTCCTTAACATTATCAATTACAGCTATTGGTAAAAAATTGGTTTCATTTGTCTTCTTACATTATTCTTATCAATTATCCGACTTAGTTGATTTAAGCTATCAGTTATGAATTAGACTTTTATGATTTTGAATAAATAAAAAAACTATTTCTGGGTTTATAAAATGAATGAATAAATTGCGCTGATCGATCGATATTATTAAACAATATGGCCGAGTGATGAATGTTCATTAGATTGAACTAAGAAAGTAAGTAATCTGCGAAATTGAATTGAAATCATCATGAACAAAACAGCTATCTAAATAGGGGAATAGATTTTTTCAGTTGAAATCATAAATCGATCGAAATGTTAGGTCTGTCACCATTAGAAACCTGGATGTAATGAAGGACCATTTCTTTCTAGTATAGAACTTATCAATGGTCTAAAGAATAAGTTTTGGGGCAGAGTTTTGGAGGTTTGCGTTTTTACACATTTGAAATCATTAATCAATCATTGTTAGAAACACCATTAGAAACCTGGAAGCACTGAAGGACGGCCGTTTCATCCTGGTATGGGATTCATCAGTGGCGGTGCGCATCCTCGACTCCTGCTCCTCGCATGAATCGAACCAGGGACCTTCGGCATCGTAGGCGAACGCCTAACCATAGGACCACTGGGCCGGCATCCAACGGTGTTAATGTCTAACTCTGATTGATCAACGGATTTTTGCGCGACCTCACCCATTTGTCTTTGGTAGTTACTGCCTACACCTGACAGGGTTGAAATCCACTGGTCACGTCTTCTCAACTAGAACTCCGAGAATTTCCTCACGAAGCTAGTCACTAGTGAGCACTGTTACGATATTTTGGTGCAGAGTTTTGGAGGTTTGCGTTTTTACACATTTGAAATCATCAATCAATCATTGTTAGACAACCATTGGGAACCTGGAAGCACTGGACGGCCGTTTCGTAAAGATTAAGTGTTCACAAAATCAAGATCACAAATCTTGGGTTCGATTCCTGAGAGTAGTTGGAGACATGGATATGTACTGTTTGTTGATCAGTCTTATAGTAGGACGAGATAGCCATCTAATGCTTCTAGGTTTCTAATAGTGATTGATTCCTGATGTCAGGTATATATTTACAATATATTGAAAACAATAATTAACTTGAGTATAACTCATTTATCAAATAAACGACTGAAAGTTATGACAATTATAGGTTATACTGTAGTGAAGGCGAACACAGGTGAGGGGCAACCGAATTGTATTCAAAGAAAATTACAGAGTTACTCAGTAAAATAGGAAAACCATATAGTAAACGGTTAATTTGCAAATCTTCAATCCATCATCAATGCATTGTCTGACATTTCACTGTTGTTCATGCGTTTCATACAAATTCCATTGTGTTGCCGCTCTTCTTCCTTTCTTGATCTTCCCCCATCTTCTACTGCCAGACATTATGTTGACACTCGCGTCATATACTACTTATAAGTAGCGCGCACCACAATATAATTTCCAACAAGTTAAATGCCTTACAGTAGTCTTATTTCTTATCTTACCATAACAAAATGTCATTGTACTCAATAAATATGAAGGAAAGTAACTCCTGTCATGTGCATTGGAGTTCTCATAAACGGAACGAAGATCAATGATTCAGTGACACAATAAGTTACTTAACTCCATTTGTCCCAAGCCCTGCTAACTAGAGGAAGAATTCTTGATAAGAGAAGTAGAGAGTTTGTATTCCACGGGCAACCAGAAAGTACCAGGTCCACAAGCGAACAACTCAAGCTTATTTATACAATCATAGCAACGCCCTTGGTGAGAGCCACTAAAATTGCGTATTAAAAAAAACAATCTATCAACCAATGACAGTCAAGAATTTTCCGAGTGGGAAATGCAAGCTGAAGGTCAAACTAAGCGAAAACATAGAAAATTCAAAATTTCAGAAATAAATCAAAAAAAATTAGGACCCTTTTTCAAATGAGTTCTGGGAATCTTACATCCCCAATATGAACAAATCACAATGACTGGAATTCAGATAATTCCATTGTTCTTCAGAGATAATCATCAGAATCGCTGAGACTGTTTTAAATACACTTTTCACAAATAATGTTTTCTCGGATACTCGATGCCCATTTTCAGTCAAAATATTGACGAATACTTGCATAAATTGTTTTATGAAAGTAAAAATACACATTAGGTACAAACATAGAATTTTTAATTTACAATGTTTTAAACAAAACGTTTTTATCGTAAATCTCTATTTGTTAAATCACTTGATAAATCTGTTCACTCAGTTAGAATATTTCTTAGAGAATGTACAGATAAAGTGTTATGATTGTCACTAGGTATACTTGAAACTATTATGGGTTCACCTTAGTCGATATACTAGAACGAGACAATCAACCAGCGTCCAAGTAGGCTACCCTGATCCGTTGACTTATGAAAAGTCTTGATATAACGAAGCAAGTATATATTGTACAAACACCCAGCAAACACAATGAATTCAAACACACAAATGGCGTTTATTTATACATCAATGTCATAAAAATTGCACACTAAAATGACACAGTAACCAATCACAGCCAAGGCATTTCCTGGTGGGAAATGTGATCTCAAGGTCAATCGATCCGACCATGAATAAAATCCAAAATATAGATATTTATCAAGCGAGTTCTGGGGATCTGACATCCCGAAACATAAAGCTATTGTAATGAAGGAGAAGAGAGGTGGGGCAGCCGAGTTATATTTAACGAAAATTACAGAGTTATTCAGTGAAATCAGAACACCATATCGTAAATCGTTCATTTGCAAAATATCATTTCATCATATCGAACTGGACTGTTCCTGTTGCAAACAACATCAATCCATTGTCACTATTCATGCGTTTCATACAAATTCCATTGTGTTCTAACTGTTCCTTTCTTGATCTTCCCCCATCTTCTGCTGCCAGACATTATGTTGACACTCACATCATATACTACTTATAAGTAGCTCGCACCACACTATCAGTATGAAGTAACTATGTACAACGATGATGTTTTATCATTTGTCGTAACGAAAGAAATAGGAATATAAATATGAATAAATTGTATGATAAACATATTTTTACTATAGATTTGTAGAGAGCGTTAAGCTTCATTATCGGTAGTTGATTAGATATTTTTCCTAATTAAAGTTATAGAGAACAGTGTTTTTACACGTTGAAATTATCAATTGATCACACTGTTAGACCACTATTAGAAACCTGGGAGCACTGGACGGTCATTTCGTCCTAATATGGGACTCAGTACTAGTGAACACACCCTGTTAGGTGTGGGACAGTTACCCCACCGAAATCAATGGTTCATGTGTTGAAATACCATGCATTGATTATTATAATTAAACAATAAAATTGTAGAATGTTGACTCAGTGGTCAAGAGGTTAACTGTTCGCGCATAAGCCTGAAGGTCGTGGATTCAAGTACAGCTCATGCAGAGATTGTGGATGCGCACTTCTGTGAAGTCCTATACTAAGACGAAATGGCAGTTTAGTAATTTCAGGTTTGTAATGGTGGTCTAAAAACGACTGATTCATCATTCCAAATAAATATATATATATATATATATATATATATATATATATATTTGTTATATATTTCTATTTCTATTAACCTTCACTATATATGTGGTGCGCGCTACTTATAAGTAGTATATGACGTGAGTGTAAACGTAATGTCTGGCAGCAGAAGATGGGGGAAGATCAAGAGAAAGGAAGAAGAGTGGGATCACAATGGAATTTGTATGAAACGCATGAATAGTGAGTGAAATGTCAGACAATGTATTGATGATGGAGTGAAGATTTGCAGATTAACCGTTTACGATATGGTTTTCCTATTTTACTGAGTAACTCTGTAATTTTCGATAAATACGATTCGGTTGCCCTCACCTGTGTTCTTCTTCACTACAATATGTTAACTTATAATATATTACCGACTTTCTTCTGAGAATTGTTTAAAAGCTGCTGTTATTTTATTCACTCCAGCCATTTCTAATATCTGTAGACAATTAGATTTGTGTGATAAACTAATGACAGTAAATTTGATTCTCAAAATCTGTTAGAATATTCATCAAATATCCTAAGAGAATTAATTATCTTTGTAAGTCTAATTCTATTGGTCAATTCAAACTGGTCAATTTTATGGTCCTCCTACTTATCAATGTCACGTGCTTCAACGTTGTTTCCTATTGGTCGTCCCGACTATCAATGTCATTTCAAATGTTGTTTCGTGATTGGTCGCCCTAAGTATCAATGTCACAGACTTCAGTGTTGTTTCCTATTCGGCCTAACTGTATAAATACGCATTACCTGTAACAATTTATGGTCCGGACCCGGATCCCCAATCCGGGATCCTCATCCTCTTCTGGACTCGAACCCCGTACTTTCTGGATGCTTGTTGATTAAAGTTTTCTACTTCATATGAAGTCTTCTTCTTTTACTAAATGGGGTGTTGAGACACTTGGATTAGAGTAGCATATCGTGTCGCCGGATCCTCGCTCTCGTTTTTCGACTAAAGTAAACTCGTAATAGTTCCAAGTATATCAAATGACATGTTTACGTACATGAGTAACAAAATCATTTTTGAATTTCTAAACCGCTGAATATTTTATTACTGATATATACTAAACAATAATGCAGTCAGTCAGTCAGATGCAACGTAAAACTTCGTACGTAAGTATATCAGTTCATGTTGCCATACCACATCAACACAGAGATGTAATTGTCAATTCAAATCCAATAGTAGTAGAAGTAGTAAAGGTATTAGAAGTAATCGAGGAGGTTAGGATTAGAACATATTATTCAAGAAGTATGATTCAATGAGATAAGTTTAGAAAGTCAAAACTAGAAGGGTTGAAGAATCCAGAAGATTAGGATTTGAGAGAACACAAAGAATAAATGCACCTACGCCATTGCAAACGATTTTGAGCCATGTCATTCAAGGTCTCTAACCATGGATTATTATCATCTCGCGGACCCCAATCAGGTAGTCGACAACTACCGACATGGCTAAGTCCACTTGTCAATGATTTAATGAATTTCTACCATGTTTTGGTTTGGCCGCCCCTAACTTTCTTCCAACCTACTCCTACACTACAAAACATAGCTGGTTGAGGCAGTCGGTGGTTAGGCATACGCAGCAGCACATGTCCCAACCACCTCAACTGATGAAGTTTCATTACTTCACCTAATGATCTACCATTCTTACCTAGCACCCTTTTCCGAATAACAGCGTTGCTCCTGGACTTAATTACGTAATGGCTAATATGATAAAATTTTAAGCTTTGGATTTTAGATTCGAGTTTCAGTTTGAACATATCACTATTAAGATGGAAGTGCATCTAGCTAAGCATGTTTCAAATAACAAGGAATGCGCTTACTGGACTTTTTTGCTGTTGATTGTTATTTGAAAAATGAATAAATGATTGAATTTTGGCCAATAGGAAACCATATTCAATGTAAGGTTTCATGTTAGTCGACATTCATCATCAACAAGACATACTTGTATAATCTTGAGAGAATTGATACTCCCCTGTTAGGATTCGAGCAGATATTTTACCTACCTCTATTTTGTTTAAGACTTCCAGTGATCTCCAATAGGTTTGCAATTTTTATAATTGTCTAATCAGTGACCAATGTTATATTTGTCAAACCATTAATCGAGATTGATTTGATGCTGTCAACTTGTAATTTGAGTTTGAAGTTTCTTATCTACTACTTTTAATCATCTTACGTTTTAACAGAATGCCACTTACACTGCGACACTGTTGGGGACGTTAGAACTCAATTGGGAAAGGTCCTAATTTTGGATATTTTTTTTATGTTTTTGCGTGTAACTGCTCTATCGACCCTAAAATTACGTTTCTCACCCGGAAAATCCTTGACTGTCATTCGTTGATGGATTATTTTAGTACGCTATTTTCGTGGCTCTCTGAAGGACGTTTCTATCTTGTATAAATAAACTCAATTTGTGTGCTTGTTAATCTCATATTTTCTAAGTGCTTGTAGAATACACTTCCTACGGCATATCAGTACTTCTTCCTCTACTTAGAAGGGACCTTAGTACGCTCGGATTAGAGTAGCCTATCGTTTCAATGCATCATTTATCTTCGGTCTCATTTACCGAGTAAGGTGAACTCGTAATAGCATTCAAGCATATCAATAGACAAGTATGTCAGATACATAAATTCATGGTCATATTACAAATTGACTGATAGAATGTGATTCATACTAACTACATATTACGTAATTTTAATTGTATACATATTCAAAAAAAGTAAAATCACACTAACCTGTTTGTAACAATGGATTTGATATTATCACATTCAAAGTTAAAGTTAGTAAACACAATGCAAATATCATTTTCCACACTCAATGTTATCAATATTGAAAATGAATCGTATAGCTGAAAATTTAATTTCAAAGCATTCATTAGTTTAAGTTTGAAATATTTAAAATCATGAATCGACCAGTGTTCGACTACCGTTAGAAACCTGGAAGCACTTACTGGACGGCCGTGAATTGATCGAAGTTAGACATTAACACCGTTAAATGTCGGCTCAGTGGTCCAGAGGTTAGATGTTCGCGCGCAAGGTCCTGAGTTCGAATTCTGCGAGATGTGGATGTTCACTGCTGATGAGTCCTCTATCAGGACGAAACGGCTGTACAGTGCTTCCAGGTTTCTAATGGCGGTCCAACATTGATCGATTCATGGTTTCAAAAAGGTGTGACTTAACAATCTTCACAACCCCGTAATACAAATTACCTGTGCTCACTAGTGACTAGTTTCGTGAGGAATCTTCTCCGAGTTCTAGTGGGAAGACGTGACCAGTGAAGTTCAACCTGTTCGGGTGTAGACAGTAACTAATACCGAGGACTGTGAATGACGTTGCGCAACTCCGTGAATTGATCGAAGTTAGACATTAACACCGTTAAATATCGGCTCAGTGGTTCAGAGGTTAGACGTTCGCGCGTAAGACCGAATGTCCTGAGTTCGAATTCTGCGAGGTGCAAAAGTCATGGATGCGTACTGCTGATGAGTCCCATACTAGGACGGAACGGCCGTCCAGTACTTCCAGGTTTCTAATGGTGGTCCAACATTGATCGATCCTTGATTTCACATTTAAACTGTATCTCAAAAAAATGTCCTAGATAGGCCAGTTAGGATATGACAATCATAAGTAACAAATCATTGTTTACCAATTATACCGCATTTAATAAGGCTTGTTTTAAGAATAAAATACAAAGATTTGTGCCTTTTTAAATTTAACCGACAAATTTTACAATCTGTTGAATATTAACTTGCAAAGTTTGGATATTGAATTATATTTTTAAGGCGGTTTTATTTGAATTTCTGTCCCCAAAAATACGAGTTACGCATTTTTCGACATTTTATTGATTATCACAAAGTGAATATGACATGTTTAAACATCTGAGTTATAAACGAATGGTTTCAAATTTCAACCTTTCAGTTGAGTCATTATGTGATTTGATTTGTAGTTCCAAACTTAACTTTGTATATATTTCAATGATCATGACTCAGTAGAGTATAGAGAAAAGTCTTCTAACAGCTGGTTATTCAATTATATGTGTATACGATTTTGTGCAAAATTTGCATAATTTCACTGTTACATCACAAACTTATATTTACATCACTTCATCACTCGAATCTTTAAGTTAAAAAAATAGAATTTTGTGTATAAAAGGAACATTTACATGAATATATATATATATAATATCGATATGGGGACTGAAGATTGCTGAACTTAATTGCAATCACAAATAGATTGGAGTTAGACGGAGACGGAAATCCGTGAGGTAGGGTGAGGTGTGACATTTTTAGGGTCGACCTTTTCTAACCCCTTCTTCCTTGTGAGAAGGCAGCATCTATGCAGATGCTGGTTGTCCAAAGGAAACACCTTACTGTTGCCACACCCCTCTGCAGTCAGCAGTGCGACTCCGCCCTCAGACCTTGAGTAGCTGCTTTTAGTCTCATCATTCTTCAATCGACCTGCCTGGAAATGTAGTTCGGTTGGGTCATCACGATAGGCTACCCCGACCACCACGTCAAGATAGTAGCTACGGTCAGCGAAAGTCACCGATGGTTAGAGACCTTGAACGACATGGCTCATAATGGTTTGCGATTGCGCAGGCGCAGGCGCATCCACTCTTTGTATTCTCTCAAATTCTAATCTTCTAAATTCTTCATCGTCTGTATGTTTCTCTTTCTACAGTTATCTCACTGAATTATACTTCCCGAATCATATATTCGAACATTAATCTTCTCCATTACCGCTAATGCTTCTACTATCTCTACCACTATGGGATTTGAATTGACAATTGCATTTCTGTGCTAATGCGGTATGGCAACATGAACTGATGTACTTACGTATGAAGTTCTACGTTCTAACTGACTGACTGACTGATTGGAAATTTCCAGTCTTAGTTAGAATATGTAACTGAAGGATTTCAACTAAGCAGTCTATGGATAAAAGTACCAACTGAAGAAAATGATAGATTTTCTCCTCATATCATCATGGATTGATTGAAACTAGACATTTATACCGGCAGATGTCGGTTCCACAATCTGATTTCAATGCCCGATGACAAGCTTTTAAAATGTAAATTGCTGACTAGTCCCAATATTAGTCCATCATCGCATTTCAATGTTTTCAATGGTGTTGTCTGACTTAAACCGGTTTATGATCTTAATAATACTTATAATAGACCATAGTTTCTACATATAAACCGCACATATTACTATTACTATTATTATTATTACTGAAAACCAAACTTTCTATTATATGTATTCATTTAAGCAGTACACAAGAATAGTGAATCACTCTTGTGTGTGTTTGTTTTTTTGAGTGTGTGCTAAATTTTAGTTATAACTAACACTAACACTTTTCATTTTTGACCGTATCTGTTTACCTTGTTCTGTTGTTGTTGACTTCGTTTGTTTTCAGTCAGTGAAACAATAAAAAAAACGAACATGAAAATGTTAAAGAGAAACGTTGTATATATAATTAAATCAATAAAAGCATTTTGTCACTTAATTAAAAAAACTGAGATTATAATCTACTCAGTCTTTTAGTAAAGTAAGTTTATAGAAAACTTACATGATAAAGAGACAACTAGTGTTATTTTGTATACTACTACTTAGTTAATCGAATTTTTTTTATGGTAAATGAATATAGGACACACATTGCGGAAAGCACCGAACGGCGTCACAAGACAAGGCCTCACATGGAAGGAACCCTCAAGGCAAAAGGAAAAGAGGCATGTCAAGGAACACATTCCGCTGAGAAATAGAGAAAGATATGAGAGGAATGAACAAACATTGGACAGAACTGGAGAAGGAAGCCCAGGACAGAGTTGGTTGGAGAATGTTGCTGGTGGGCGGCCTATGCTCCATTGGGTGTAACAGGGGTAAGTAAGTAAAGTAAGTAAGTAATGCGCAGTGGCGGTACCGTAGCCAATGAAGTTTATCTGAGGCGCGGTTACTGCTAGTTGAAAACAGGCCCCTCGTATAATTAAAAGTATTAATTAACCAATGAGAAACAAGAAATTGACATTTGATATATAATGAGCGAAATTCAAAAATGAATGTAAAATTTTAAAAGTAAGGATACTTTTATCTAGTGCCCAGTACATTCAAAATTTTAAACGATAAATTATATCTATTGTCCTTATTGAGTAAAAATGGTAGAGTTAAATAAATCTAATGAGTAGTTCATTCAGTCAACACAAGAGCAACATAGAACTTCTTACGTACGTAAGTGCATTAGTTCAGGTTGCAATACCGTATTAGCACAAGGGTGTAATTATCAATTCAAATCCCAAAGTAGTAGAGGTAGTAAAAGTATTAGAAAAGTAATCGAAGAGATTAGGCTTCGAAGATATTATTCAAGAAGTAGAATCTAGTGAAATAAACTTAAAAAGAAAAAGTTTAGGATTTGATAGAACACAAAGAATAAATACACTTGCGCCATTGCAGACGGTTTTGAGCCATGTCATTCAACGTCTATAACTATCGATTATTATCATCTCGCGGACCCCAACCAGGTATTCGATACCTACCGACATGACTCAGTCCATTTGTCAGTGACTTCATGGATTTGTGTTATGTTTTAGTCTGGCTGCCTCTAGCTTTCATCCAACCTATTCCTACACTACAAAACATAGCTCGACGAGGCAGTCGGTGGTTAGGCATACGCAACACACGTCCCAACCAACTCAGCTGATGAAGTTTCAATATTTCATCTATTGACGTGCCATCCCTTCCTAGTACCCGTTTCCTGTCTATAGCACTGCTTACACGGTTGTCCCATAATACACTAGCAATGCTTCGGAGACACCTATGATCGAAGACTAGTAACCTACGGATATCTTCTACTCTGAATGGCCATGTTTCATGGCCATAATATAAGACGGAGCGAGCTACTGCGCAGTACACTCGTCCTTTAGTCAGCAAATGGATATCTCGCCTACGCCATAAGTGACGCAAGTTAGCAAAAGCTAATCGAACCTTCAGTATCCATACTGAGATTTCGTCAGTCACCAGGCCATCGGCACTAATAAGACTTCCAAGGTAAGTGAAGCGGTCAATACACTCAACCGCTTTACTCCCTATCACTAGCCCAGGTGCTAATACAACCCAATCTTGAAGCAATTCATTCACCGTCGATTACATTTAAGTACTGGATAGCCATCAAGCCCTGCTATGGGACACATCTGAAGTGAGCATCCATGACTCCCGCTACTTACAGGAATCAAACTTGGGAATTTCAGTCTTGTGTGCGAACTCTTTAACTCTAGACCACTGAGCCAGCTTTCCAATGGTGCCAATGTTTAACACTGTTCAATCTAAGTTTTTGAGCAACCTCACCGATTGTTTTCAGTAGGTAACCGCCTCACACCCAACACATTTGAATTCCATTGATCACAACCCCCCACTAGAACTCCGAGAATTCTCTCACAAAGCTAGTCATCAGTAAGCACATTGTACGACTGTTCACTATAAGGTTATGTAGATTGTTGTTTTACATTGAAATGATGAATCATGATGGGTCCTATAGCAGGACGAAACGACCATCCAATGCGTAAGCAAGTTAGTAGTAAAAAACTTTGGACTGTTGACGATTGATTGATTTTGTATCTCTTACAACCGACCCCCTATCACATGACAAATAAAAAAAAAACACCAATCAGATTTATGTTTTTAGCACTAGTACTCTTAAGTCAGACCTAAATCCTCATTGGTCCACGACTCAATAGCTTCTTTGTTTTTTACCCTAGTTCAGAAATCCATAGCCAACCTCCATAAAAGTAATCATATTTTAAACAAACATAGTTTACAAACA